GCCTCGCCTTACCTACGAATTAGCACCTTCCGCTTACCGTATTGTCGCGCTCCTCCTTTCCCCCCCCTCCCCCCCGCAGGCTGTAGGCCAGTGGTGGGAATATTCTCGAAAGGGGAGAGGTGCGCATGGCTCTCCCCGAGATCGAGATGGATGGGGTTGGACCGGTTGGTTTGAGGCCACTCTGTTCCTTTCCGAGCTGCTTTGGAGGTTGAATGGGACAGGTACACCACTAGATAAGTAGAGAACACTGCAAGGCTACCAAGCATATTAGATGCCACCTAAGTAGGATTGTAAGGGAAGTGGCCAAGTTTATTGATTCCCACCTTCGGGGCAAGTAAGGTCATTTTTGCTGGATCGTGAGTCACTTCCAATGGAGATGAACAAGCACGCAAGGTGCCTTTGAGGTTTGTCACACTGCGGCATAGAACTCAACAGAAGTTGTGGAAGCAAAGCGAACAGAAAGGCCACGTTCAAGGTCCCCCAAGTGCCAAACGTCCAGGGGGGACCACCAGTAATCGAAATCTCCAGAATCGCAGCCTTGGTGGGGCAGAAAGGAATGACCCCAGCGCGGACGGCAGGCAGCGGCAGCGGTGAGGCGCACACACCTTGGCTCCGGTGGCTAGGGAAGAAGCCTCGCACGGTACATGCTCACTGTCCTGCTGCAACGGAGATGTGTCCCCCGAGCACCTAATTCCTGCCTGCCATCCCAACCTTGGGTATCTCCATCTGCCGAGCAGCAGTGTGCATTAAGGTACTGCTCACCAGCGTGCAGGTGTTGCTCTCCAAAAGGTAGGTGAAGGCACCAAATAGAGTACGGCTGCACCAAGGGTCCACACAGTAAGGATCCACCAGTGACACCCATAGCCCAAAAGGAAGAGACCCCTGTCACGTGTGGCGCCTCGCAACGTGAAATCTGGCCTTTTGTGCAATCTGGACACCTCGACTTTTTTTTGGAGAAGGCATTCATAAAGGCGGCAGCTCTTCCTTTCCACCGCCGACACTTTACCTCTCCCAATTCACCACTGCCAAAGCCACCTCAACTCGATTGGGTGTGTAAATAGTAGAAGGGAATCCAAAAACCCTCTCTCAACAGCGCGTCTTTGACGTTTTTTTCTCCTTTCTTTTTTCCCCCGACACCAGCTTTCGAGGTACAAAGAGCTATCCCAATACCACACACAGGGGAGCTTCACGGCACCGCCAAAAAAGACAATGTCGAGATCCAGAAACTCGATGGCCTTGGGCTTCGGCCTCTTGGCCTGGATGGCTCTCCTCTTCTCCCCCCTGGCTTTCGTTCAGACTGCCCAGGCTCAGGACACTGAGAGCTACGGAACGGTCATCGGTATCGTAAGTTGCACCTCCCAAGCTTCCCTGGCGACGATTGCGGCCTTTGTCGGCCCTTCTCTGTCGCCAACGGATTTAAATAAATTCGACGTCATGTCTAACTTCTAGTCTCTAGGATCTTGGAACTACCTACTCTTGCGTCGGTGTGATGCAGAAGGGCAAGGTTGAGATTCTCGTCAACGACCAGGGTAAGTCTTGCCACGGTCGCGGCTGCCCCTGCTTGCAACCCCCTGATTCCAGCAATCTTACTGACTCTGCCTCGCAGGAAACCGTATCACCCCATCTTACGTCGCATTCACCGAGGAGGAGAGACTCGTCGGTGACGCCGCCAAGAACCAGGCCGCCGCTAACCCCACCAACACCATCTTCGATATCAAGTGAGCTCCTACCCCGGCCGTCGACCGCTCGAGATAACATTGCTAATCATCCTTTCAGGCGTATGATTGGCCAGAAGTTCTCCGACAAGGCGGTTCAGTCCGACATCAAGCACTTCCCCTACAAGGTCATCGAGAAGGATGGCAAGCCCGTCGTCGAGGTCGAGGTTTCTGGCTCCGCCAAGCGCTTCACCCCCGAGGAGGTTTCCGCCATGATCTTGGGCAAGATGAAGGAGGTCGCCGAGGCCTACCTTGGCAAGAAGGTCACCCACGCCGTCGTCACTGTTCCCGCCTACTTCAACGACAACCAGCGCCAGGCCACCAAGGATGCTGGTGTCATTGCCGGACTTAACGTTCTCCGCATTGTCAACGAGCCTACCGCCGCCGCTATCGCCTACGGTCTTGACAAGACCGAGGGTGAGCGCCAGATCATCGTCTACGACCTTGGTGGTGGTACTTTCGATGTTTCCCTCCTGTCCATCGACCAGGGTGTCTTCGAGGTTCTGGCTACCGCCGGTGACACCCACTTGGGTGGTGAGGATTTCGACCAGCGCATCATCAACTTCTTCGCCAAGTCCTACAACAAGAAGAACAGTGTCGACATCACCAAGGACCTCAAGGCCATGGGTAAGCTCAAGCGTGAGGCCGAGAAGGCGAAGCGTACCCTCTCTTCCCAGATGTCCACTCGCATTGAGATCGAAGCCTTCTTCGAGGGCAAGGACTTCTCTGAGACTCTTACCCGCGCCAAGTTCGAGGAGCTCAACATGGATCTCTTCAAGAAGACCCTCAAGCCCGTTGAGCAGGTGCTCAAGGACGCCAAGGTCAAGAAGGAGGATGTTGACGACATCGTTCTCGTTGGTGGCTCTACCCGTATTCCCAAGGTTGTCAACCTCATTGAGGAGTACTTCAGTGGAAAGAAGGCTTCCAAGGGTATCAACCCCGATGAGGCCGTCGCTTTCGGTGCCGCCGTTCAGGCCGGTGTCCTTTCCGGTGAGGAGGGTACTGAGGACATCGTCCTCATGGACGTCAACCCCTTGACTCTCGGTATCGAGACCACTGGAGGCGTCATGACCAAGCTTATCCAGCGCAACACCCCCATCCCTACCCGCAAGAGCCAGATCTTCTCCACCGCCGCCGACAACCAGCCCGTCGTTCTTATCCAGGTTTACGAGGGTGAACGTTCCCTTACTAAGGACAACAACCTCCTCGGCAAGTTCGAGCTCACTGGCATCCCCCCCGCGCCCCGTGGCGTTCCCCAGATCGAGGTCTCCTTCGAGCTCGATGCCAACGGAATTCTCAAGGTCTCTGCCCACGACAAGGGCACTGGCAAGCAGGAGTCTATCACCATTACCAACGACAAGGGTCGTCTTACCCAGGATGAGATTGACCGCATGGTCGCCGAAGCTGAGAAGTACGCCGAGGAGGACAAGGCTACCCGTGAGCGCATTGAGGCTCGCAACGGTCTTGAGAACTACGCTTTCTCCCTGAAGAACCAGGTCAACGACGACGAGGGTCTTGGTGGCAAGATTGACGACGAGGACAAGGAGACTGTAAGTTGCCATAATGCCATGAATGTCTACCGACAGATTACTAACATGCTTCCTAGATCCTCGAGGCTGTCAAGGAGACGACCGATTGGCTTGAGGAGAACGGCGCCACCGCCAACACTGAGGACTTCGAGGAGCAGAAGGAGAAGCTGTCCAACGTCGCCTACCCCATCACCTCCAAGATGTACCAGGGCGCCGGTGGCGCTGGTGGCGAGGACGAGCCCCCCTCCCACGACGAGCTCTAAATTCCATAGATTTGTTGTTGTTGCTTCGTTTCGGGATTCAAAAGAGACAGTACCCAAAGATTCCATGCAATTTTTCGTCTCTGGTGTTAGCAGGTTAATCGGCGTCGGCAGCATGGAGCATGACTCCACCATTGTGTAAAGTATACAACGCATAAATGAGACCTCTTGAACACATGCTTTATTCTCTTTTGTGATTGTGACTGAGAAGCATCATCTGATGCTGTCGTGTACTCTTCAGTAGTCCAGCTTCTTGACTACGTTATATCTATACTCAATGTATCCGTATCTTGGTCTATCCAAAATTCCTCCTCTACAGAGTTTGATGAAGTACTTACCCGGCATCTGGTGAGAGAATTCGCCCCCCTCTCCACCCCAAGCTGCTAACTCATCCTACACTTCCCGTGAAGGACCCTGAGCAAGATGAGTGCAACTTAACTTTACTTGCCTTGTGGGGTCTCCTCTGCGTATGCGGGATGAGCGGCAGCAAGGAGTCTGGGGCTGGCAGGTTGCGTCTCGTTCAAGAAACTCACCAGAACAGACGACCTTGATTGGCTCGTAGGTCATTGTCGACAAAGCAAGGTGCTGCTCATCAAATGGACAGAGAGCATCGCGTACTTTCGAGGCGGGTCATCTTTTGTCGGGGACGAAATGGAGTTTATCCTGTACGGAGACTTTTGGATGGCTAAATCTCAATCTGGAGTCCTAGACTACTCTCCCCCCAACTCCACGCCAGCGGGCTGAAACTCGTAGAAGCCCTAGAAGGAGGAAGAATCTTTGGCAAAGAAGCGTACTCCATAGAAGAGTAGCGTGAGATGAGACGAACTGTCTACACGAAACCCGGGAACTGAGTACAAAGTAAGAGGAGATGGAGACGACAGGCTTCGGCTTCCTCGAAAAAACCTTAAACCCAACCCGCCTGGACGGCGCCCTACTATATGCTGCGTATGCGTAGATCGCTGGGTGGAACTGGCTTTTTGCTTGTTATTGTGTTTAATATGAGATGGTTTTGAATGACTCGGCGCTGTAACGACGGCTCTCTTAGGTACAGGTCTGTTCTTTTATCGTTCACTCCGGGCTGAGAGGGTCACGGCGCAAATACGTGCCTGAGTAGGGTTGGATGGGAAGTGAACCAGGTCTGAATGACTCGGTTTACGCATGCTCGCTGCGCAGCGAGAAGTGACGGCATTCCCATCTTGCCGCGTACTCTGTACACGGTTTTCGATATACGGGTACAGCTTGGGCAGAAAAGATATAATATGCCTGGCAACTTATAGGCTATAAAGCAATTCCTCTCACGTTCGTGTTCTCGTCGTTGCTATACTACTATCTCTTTCTCTATCACACTTACATTCGCTCACTCAGTCACTCACTCGCCAACACTCTCTTACATCATACCACCAGTATACCCAACCTCCAAACAACCTCACGTATAACCTATACCTTTCACCACTTCTCAACAACAACCACACAGCCAGCTACCAACCGCCGCCACCATGCAACTCCCCTCCATCCTACTCTTCGCCGCCACCGCCGCCGCCCTCGCCCTCCCGGAACCCATCCCCAAACCCAACCCGGAGTCCTGCGACGAGACGTGCCCGAACCCCTGCCGGCAGGCCAACCGCAACACCTACTGCACGGGGGCCAAGAAGTCCGTCACCGGCGGGCCCCTGCCGGCGGCGTACAAGAACCAGTGGAACTGTCCCGCGGGCAGCAGCAACCCGCCCAGGTCGTATATCCAGATGACCCAGAATGGGGGTGCTGAGGGAGGTGTTACTGTTTTCTGCACTATTTAGAGAGAAGAGAGAGAAAGAAAGGAGGGGGCAGGATGAGAAATACTCGGTGCTGTGTGGTCTATGTATATATACGACAGCGCACGCAGATGGGATCTCACCCATTTGCCTTCACCTAAGAGGGTTGAAAGAAAGAGGAGGAGAAGGAGAAGGAGACACGTTCCGACGCGGAGAAGAGCGGACGGGTTTGGAGATAAAGCGAGAGATACCTTGACATGGTTTTATATACCTCATTTTTTACAATCAACCCATCATCTTACACCCAAGATCGTTCAACCCGTGTAAGTGCCGAGCTCAACATGTCCCAACTTGGCCGGTTTCCCTCTTGAGACACGAGTGTTTTTATAGCTGATCCAGGCATTTTGATGGGGCTTGATTCCCCATCCAGCACGATGCCAACGAGATGAGGCTTGTCGTCGACTTTACTTATTCTCCGACTCAGTAAAAATACACCCCGTCCAGTGGGTTGACGACCATTTTGTTTCTTGCACATTCGCTCAACTGGAGTTGAGTGGTGTCCGGTGTCCTGGAAAATGTATCTTCTTCTGAACCAGTGAAAAGTTCAGCTCAAACCTTGAGCTAAAAGTATGGACGAAAAGATAAAGCCACGAGGCTCGTTTCGTCTCATCTACGTCGAAGTACGCCTCACTCACAGACCGGGAATCCCTGTCTCTTCTTGCAACAGGCTGCACGTAGGAGATAGAGAGTTGGGTCCTGCGTATCATGGAACGGCATGTGGTGACAACTCTTTCGTCACGTGGGCAAATTGCATCTTACTCCAACACCACCAGTAGCCAAACTTCACGATGAACGTCCTGGTCAAGCTGATGTAACACGTGTAATTTGACGTTTGATGGAACCTGGATTTGCCACATGAGACGACCCGGTGTTTTTCTCTTCGACCTTGGCTACTTGGGGGGCGGGGGGGAGGGGGCATGCTTTGGAATAGTAACCTGGAGATGGGCCGATCGCGCAAGTCACTACTACCTCCAGGGAGAACCCGAGGAATCATGGGAATTCATGAGAATATCCACAGCAACGGTAGCACCATTGGCGGGAAAGTCTATTTCTGCATTTGCTCCGCAGTTTCGGGCTTGCTCTTAAGGCTGCTCTGAAGGAGATAGCTGGATAATCGGAGGCAAAGAGAAGTGCAATTTTACCTTGATAACTCCAATTTCCTAGAGCTCACGTATCAGTCCACTCTATTCTAGATTGTCTTTGTGTCTTTCGAGGGAGGGATTCTATCCCAGAATTGCGAATTAAAGACAGAAGTTGGGCTTCCTAGATCAACATGCCTTTGGAGAAGAGAGTCACCCACTAGCCAGGCTTCACCGCGATAGCAAACCAAAAGTATAGTGCAGATAGTGAAGCCAGGCTATGAAATTAGAAGCGGGTGGTCTTGAACGACGCTTAATATAACGACATGGTCTATTCGTGCTCTTATGATGCAGCTATCGCTCTCCTTTTACTTTTGAGGTCACAGATGTTCCAGACAGTTGCCGTGGATGAATGAGAAGCCGCTGTCGACAGGGACGAAAAGGAGTCAGCGATTTCAGGGCCTCGAACTGCAATTGCTGAACACCTTCTCAGGCTGGTGTGGTATACGGACTCTTTGCTATGGCAGTATCGCCAACAGTGGCGGGAAGTGGTTTATAAGAGCAACCGAATAAGTCGGCTTTTTGCAACTATCTTGTCTGGTCGCTGGGCCAACGAACACCGGTTGGGATGGGATGATAGCAGGCCAGGTCGCTCAAAGTTACGTGGTCGTAAGGCCGAAATCTTCATGCTAGGTGACCACATACTGTCGTTTCTTGCTTGGAGATGCGTGCGTAGACGAAGGGACTAGATCACCAGGCCAGACCGTGGCGTGAGTGAAGGTGGTTGTTAATGTATTCACCTAGACATGTTCAAAACTTCGTTTTGGGGAGAGCCCATTGCACGGAGCAGCTTTGAAAGTGCTGGCACGTTGATGGTAGTCGGTGTCGAGAATGAAAGTGCGGTTTCTACCGTAATCCTCGCCAAGAGCGAAACTGCGAAGGTAGGAACAGGGTGAAATACCTCATTTTGAGAGGGCATGATGGGTTACTAGTGTCAGTGAATGCTATGCAGAAGCTGAACCGACCACAACATTGCCGTAAATGTATGCAAACGATTCATCTGATACTCAATCGAGTTCTACTATTCACGTTCCGATTTTATTCGGCCATTTAGTCACTGCAGAAAATTACATGCTGATGCGTAAGATGGCTGAAGATTTCCAAATCAGTTCAACACACAAGAAGAAGTCAAAAGAAGCCTGGAAACCAATTTTCTTGGAACGCGCATTTAGTGCTGTTCCGCATTCCTCGGCAGACAGCGTTCTCCCTTTCAGGAAGCACGAGGAAGCGGCGGGAGCAACCGCTTCCAGGCCCATCGTTCAGCATTCCGATCTGGTGCAAACCATGCTCAACCTAATCGTCACAACTCAACTAAGACGAAAACTTTGAAAACTGGGGGATGTGGCATACATGTGTCGTGGCCCGGATCATATCCGTAATCGAGGTCGTACATGCGGCTCTCTCTCACAAGCTGTAACTCAGCATTCCACAGAACTTTATCGAGACGACAGGCCAATAGCACGGTTCCTTGACGTGGCACAGAATTGAAGAGTACAACAACATAGAGCCGTGGATTTCTTGGACTATCGCATTTACCGAGACTCCTTCCAAAAGGAAGACTTGCAACTCTTGTGTGGTGTTACTACGCTTATTGCTTGTCACGTGCGCTGGCGGCCAACAAAGCTACTAGGCAAGTAAAATTACCTTCCCTGTCAGTAACATCCGATATGGTGTAGTGGCCAACATGATGCCCTCTCATCTCTTTGAGAGGCTAGGCATAGCCCCGAGTTCGATTCTCGGTTTCGGAAACTTTTGATATCTTCCACGATTAGATCGTCCGTTTTGCCTCCATTTTCCGTCTATTGATGCATTTGTTCCGGACACGTCCGTCCCAGTGCACAATGACCACGGCGCATTGGGGAAAAGTAAACCCCAAACTTTTCGGACGAACCACTTAGACATCAAAACTCTAACCTCCAACCCCCTTAGCGACGATGTCGATATGGCCGTGATAGATTGGGACGAGACGCATTAAACGATAGCCTCATCGATCCGTGTCGGACGTCACGCAAGGTGCCTGGCATACGCAGTACTCACTCATTGGCAAAGAGAAGCTCAAGCGAAGTCAGCCTCGTCGCTACAGGGCGAGCGCCTGCGCAGCATGCATGTCTCTAAATCTCGACCCAGAGACGCATGTAATCCTATACCCGAGAACCAGAGTCTCGCTTCAAGCAGGATAGAAGGTGGAATAAGCAATAACTAAGACCTTCATGTCACTGTCAAATGAAGGCGATGAGACATGCGTCCCTTCCCAGAATCCCAAGTTCCCACATGCCGATCCTCGTGGCCTTTACCAGGTTCTCACGGACCAAAGATCGAATTCCCGGCCGTAAGACAGATTGCTCTGTTCGGTAAAATGAAACTTGAACACTGGTGAAAAGAATGGAAATGCGATGGGAAAGCAATAAAATAATTACGCAAAATCCACCACGCGGTCCACGCGAGATGAGGGAAGCGATGAGAGAATCTTAGCAACAGTAGGATTGAGAAAGAAAATGTCCGGCTGGAGCCGGGGGGGGGGGGGGGTGATCGACGTTGGGCTCTTTTTTCGCTTTTCAAAAATAGGTTTCCTTGCAATAATACCACTTTGCCATCAGTCTCGAACTTTCTGAGAGAATTAAGGAAAGCGGTGTCCATCGACCCATCCAGAGACATTTCCGCCGGAAGCTCTTTCTTGAGAGGGACTCCAACTGCAAGGGAACTCTGCAAGGGTGAAGCGTACTCTCCATAAACGACTAGGCATTGAATGGACGGACGTCTCTTGGCCTCTGGACTTTGATAGGACGGGGCCGAATATGACCCGGGACCCTGAGCGAAGATCGTCGAGGGCCCGAGCATCCTTCTTCCATTGACCTATTCATCTCCATCTTTCAGACAGCGTTGTGCCTTATCATGAGGGAGTACTCCGTAGGATCAGCAAAAAAACAACAACAGCGATCTTCGTTTCTGTTTGCTTCGTTTCCGAGGGTCCGAAAGTCTGGAGGGACACCGGACACCCAATAAAACGGTGCAAGCAACCCCCCGCAGATTAGATAGCAAAGCTCGAGCGCGTTCGATAGCGGCAGCGAGTACATACGGGATATGCTTTGTTTCGTTGGATGGCACGCTGGGACGTGGAGGTTGCATCGTGACAACCTTCCCCACGAAAGGAACCTGGAAAGGCGGCGAGGCCAGAGGCAAACAGGAAACATTGTTTCCCTCCCAATCACCATAAGGAATCAAAGGAACAGTGCCGATATCAATCACGCGGGACTCAACTTTTTTCTGGCTTATAGTTCAGCTTGTGTAGACACACACATGTCTCTCAAGAAACAAAAAGAAAAGTCATGTCTAGAAGTAAGGGAGACGAGAAAGGAGACTGTCATTCGTTGAACCGTCAAGTCTTTCCGTCACGCCGTGATTGCAAGCGCCAAGCCTATTGAGGACACCCGCATGCCGCTCTCAATATCCGCCCCCCATCTCCCCGAGTCCCAGAGACACTCATCTGCCGAGGGGCCTTTGCAGTGGTGATCCAAACAAGCAGGAATCCGAGTATCCTCTCTCGCAGAAAGAAGGAACAACAAAGAGAGGTCTTAGACATACAGACGTCCCAGCCTGGCAGTCCGCCCAGTGGTTCAGTGATCACCCGTCATTATCGTGCCTTGCTTTAGTGACGAGGGGGATCAAATCCTATCATATTGCTTCCTATGGCAGGGCGCTTGTTTTTGGGCATTTGCATCTGCATCTGCATCTGCATACATGATGTACAAAGAAATCAAGGTCTCAGAGCTGCAAAAAAGGCAGCAAACAAGATTTCTAGACTCTGCGGTGCAGAATAGGTGCCTTTATCTTATGCATGTCTTATCT